CATACATGGGCAGAATAGCACCATTGGTCAGTTATGTAAATAAAAGTCGGAGGTAGAAGAATAGGAGTGTGATTGGACAGGCGAATGTTGTCATAGTCCATTATAAGCATATATGAAAAAAATATGACAATGAGACAGAGTACTTTTTCATTTAATATATACTAATAATTGTGCCAAGACATCTCACAAACTGTATAATTAAATGTTAAGCATTATTTGTTTTAGACTCTAAACTTGAAAAAAAAATCCTAGATAAATAAATACACAGGCACACATACATTCTTATTAATAATGATAACATTGGCTTATATTTATTCAGTACAATTTAAACAAAATGTACCATAAGTAACGGTAAAGTACATATTCCATGAAATGGTATTTCAATAATGACAATAACTGCAAAAGTGAAATTATAAAACTATTATGAATACAACTTGAAATAATCTTTCTTACACATATATTTAGACATATGTTTTTACATATGTTTTTATATCTATGAATGCGTAATTACTATTAGCTTATAAACTTGATATGACCCTATATAGGAAGATACTGCCTAAGAGGCCAAGAGATAAGCCAGCCTGGAGTCTGCCTGAGTGCCTAGGAACAAGAGCTGTCAGAGGTCCTGATCATGCCTAGCCAATGAGGGGCAACTAGGCAATGTCATTGGATTGGGACTCAGCCTCGGTGCAGGGAGGTGGGTACACTGGGAGCTGAATAATGGTTTTTGAAAATGCTGTTTGCCCTTTCCCTGACTCCAGGTGTCTGTGCCATTGAGTCCACGCCTTCTCATCCCCTCCCCCAAGGGAGCCATTAGTACCCAGCAACACCCCTATAAATTATATAAACTATAAGCCCTTGTTAAGAGTGCAAAATATATAAAGAAATGCTCACGTATAACATGTTCCACAGGGAGCATTATTTACAAAGGATGCATATGTATGGAACTGAAAGAATATTGCAGCCTGGTTCCCTTTCATCCAACACTGCGCAGAAAGGGCAGCATTATCGTTGCTAGTTCAAGAACTATTCCAATACTATCAATGTGTATTCAATAAGGGACAAACAACAATGCTCTGCTTGAATTTCACAAAGCAATGACTATATCCATTCCTTATTAATGTATGCATGATTTAGTTACATATTTGTTTGTGTATTTTGATAGTATTATATGGTGATATTTTATTTGTATTAAAATGTTATTTGTATGTTAATAAATAAAGTTGCCCGGGGGTCAGAGCTATTAGCAAGCCATAGGAAAGCCAGGCGGTGGTGGCGCACGCCTTTAAGTCCAGCACTTGGTAGGCAGAGCTAGGTAGATCTCTGTGTGTTCAGGGATATAACCAGCATTGGAGACACATGCCTTTAATCTCAATACCAACCATAAAAAACCTGGAGGTCTATACAGACAGACAGTGATGAGGCAGTCATGTGGTTGAGTTTACAACCAATGAGAAGGCAGAACCGAAAGTCTTTATAAAGACTTTAACACAGGAAGTAGCTCTCTTTTGGAGAGGTAGGACCACTGCAGGAGGAAGGGTAAGGTTTTAGCTCTTAGCTCTGACCTCTTGGCTTTCTTCTTTGCATTGGTTCTGTGTTTCTTATTTAATAAGATGGTTGGTTACATCTACAGTATTATCATGTTATTAAAGAAGTTTACAAACTCTTCAGTAAATAGTTTAATAATAAAATACACTATAGAATTTTTTGAGACAGTTTAGCTACAATATAACAAAGGCCTGTGACACTTACATTCCTGTAACTTATATATAGTTTATTCATTTGCACAGAAATGTCAGTTTTTAATTATTTCATAGAAAGAAAACTACCTTTGTCATTTTTAAGCATGAATGATGAGCTCAAAGTATCCTCAGTTTAATACACCACATTGTAAAGTTACACAATTCATTCATAATGTAAGATGCAATTAAAGCATGTTATCAAATAGGGATGTATTGATCCTTCATCGTGATAATTCACTATGCTCAGTAACACTTTAAATTTCGATTTTCATATCAAAGTAGAGCATTTGAAGATCAAAGTCACATTTCTCCTTCACTATTAAGTCATACTTCACTGATTTTTATATGTAATTGAATAATTAGTATGAAAATTTCTATAAGAACATTAATGCTTTACTAATTGCAAACCCTGTCTAAGATGAGACCAACATCCTCTTAAACGATCATGTCAATATATTTAACACAACATGTAATGTGGTGGTAATTTGTTGTACTCTAATAAATTTTGCCTGAAGATCAGAGGACAGAGCCAGCCACCAGATTAAAATAGAGGTCAGACCCTGGTGGCACACACCTTAATCCTAGGACTCGGAGGGAGAGATCCATCTGGACCTATGTGAGTTCCAAGCAAAACTGGGCTGCATGACATTGACCCAGTCTAGAAGAGAAACAGAGCCAAGCACACCTTTAACCCCAGTATTTGGGAAACACACAAGCCATTAATCCTAGAATTCAGTCAGAGGATCCTTGGAGTTGGAGATGTGAGAAGTGGCTGTGGCTTGTTACTTTGTTGCTTATGGTCTTTCAGCATTTACACCAATATCTGGCTCCAGGTGTTTATTATAAGACCATTTAAGATTCATGCAACAATGTGTATTTGAAAAATAGTTAAATGGTTAATGATTTTTAAATTTTTCATCACTGAATCACATTCTATCTCTTGAGTTGACAGTAGTTAACAAGTCTCTTATGTCTGGTGTTGATTGGCCTTTTATCAGGTCAAATATCTTCCAGCCAGTTTGGAAATGTCATTTCTCAGTTCTGTGAGCTGTCACTGGAATCATAAAAAATGATTCTTGTAGAAATATTAGGAAGTTCCATAGGACTTTATTTTAGCATTAATTTGTTATACAAAAGTGATAAAAATATCGGAACATATTGGAAGATTGTGGCTTTAAAAGGAAATCACAACAACATTTAACAGTCATTTTATTTTTCTCTTATTTACTTGTAACCTTGATTCTCAATATCAGGCTGGCAGCAATAAATACCAAGGCAGGATATGAAAGATCAATGTATTCTTTTAAACACTGAACAGTTTTCTATTTCTCCTGAGTAAATGAAATGTTCACTACTAAACATTAACTTATAAGATGTAAGATTTTTTGTAGATGTATGCTAAAATGATGAGGGGAGAAACAATTTTCAATTAATATTCATTTATAGGATATAATTCAACAAAATTATTTTCTGAAAAACACATAGAAGACTTTTATGCATGTTTTCATTTTATGTAAATTAGTTTTTATCTTAAATGAAATATAAAAGTATGCGTAATCACAAGGTAATATACATTCAATGTAATATTTAAATTAAGTTATGGACATGTATTCACCTTAAATATTTTCTGATAGTGAAAAACTTAAAAATGTACATTATCTTAAATCATCTCCAAATCAATTTACAAAATTCCTATGGATAACCATTTCTAAGTTTCCAACATGGGCAAAAGACAAAACAGCAACATCAAAAGTGTAAATAGAAGAACTACTTTAAGGTTTGTACAAACTGGAAAAACTACTGTTTATAGGAGGATGTGTGTATGTGTGTGTGTGTGTGTGTGTGTGTGTGTGTGTGTGTGTGTGTGCATTTAAGCAGAAAAGTGTAGGGCAGTAATAAAGAGCAAAGTTTACCTGAATAAGAGGGTATAAAATGTAGCTACATTTCATACAATGTAAAATATACTTTGTTAAGTGTTAAAGAAGTCTTGACAAGGAAACACATTTAAAAAACAGGAATTGTGTATTCTTTTAGTTACATAAATATTACTTTATTTGTAAATGATCCCACATATGTAATTTAGAATCATTTATGTATTTAAAAATATATTTCACTGGTTATTAATTTCAAGCATCATAAATGCTCATAATATGGAAATCAAATTTCAATGTAAAAACAATATTCTTGCTTCTAAGTTGTGTTTGTGAATAAAGAAGTATATATTAATATTAATGCATCTATTATATAAATTATATATACATTTATTAATCATACACACATTCAAAGTATACATATGTTATAAAACTTAAATTAATGAGTATTTATCTTAATAATAAATCCATTTAAAAAGTTAATATATAAATTTATATACAGAAAACATTCTTTGTACCAAACATTTCATTTGTATTTAATATTCTAGATTTTATAAATAACTTTTGCAACTTACTTTAGGATTTTATTATAATTAATAATGCAATCATAACTAGAGTTGAATTAGAATTTATTCAGATGTTGCTTAAACTTCATTATTTTCTTAATTTTGATTTTTTAATTCTTCTGCTGGATACATTATCCTTTGTCTAATATATAATTTGAGATATATAAATGTCTTTGCAAATACATCCATACAAAAGTGTAACTCCTTGTCTTACTCAGTATCTTTATTTTTATTTGAAACATAATATTATTTACTGCTTAAATTCTTTCAACAATAATTTTTAAAGAAAATGGAAAAAATATGAAATTATGAAAAGGGGGAAGAACATAAATAATTGTTCCCTGATTTTGATAATTGTGAGTCTTCAAAGAAACAGTGCTATAAAAACATGTGAGAAAAATCCATTCTGAAAAGTATTAATCAAGAAATAAATTGTTATATTCAATATTTATTTTATAAAGAAGTGTATTTCTAATGATTTGAAGGAACACAACTTCGTTATCCATGTTTCATAATCCTACAAAGCAAATGCATGATGATTTAAAATAAAGTCCAGTATTATACATTCATAGAAGAAAACTTTCTAATCTCCTAATATTTCAGCATTTTCCCCCTGATTTTGTATTAACATAGTAGAAATATGTTCTTATATATAATTGTTTTAGGAAATGTCCAACACATGTATTGACTTCAATAATTGCTAGATTGCTTTTCTTTATCAAACGCCAAGTAGCCATCAGTTTTCAAATACTTGCTGACTTTGTCTAGTAAACAAACATTATTTTTAGATTTCAATCTATGCCAGATCATACGAGTCTCACCTGCTCAGATTCAAATCCCAGGGCACCTGAGTAAACGGAAACTTGAGGTTGCTACCACTTACAGGAGGAAGAAAGAAAAAGATCTTCTGACTTAGTTTTACAAGCTTCTCAGAAAAATCTCCATATCTCAATGTGCTCTGAGTTAGGGATGCTGTGCTTTTAGTAGCACAACACTGTCAGTATGTCACTGCTTACTCAATGCTATTTCGGGTTCACCAAGCAGAACCATGAACACTGAGTCCTTTGTGTAAAATACCAAAAGGCCATTCTGATGGCTGTTCTTAGTCTGAGGTTAAAATGGAGACAGCAAAACAAGTAGTCTGAACTGATCTTTTCTTTTCTTTCATTCTCTCTGTCTCTCTGTCTCTGTCTCTGTCTCGCTCTGTCTCTCTGTCTCTCTGTCTCTCTCTCTCTCTCTCTCTCTCTCTCTTTCTCTCTCTCTCTCCTTGTTTCTTTCTTGTTTTGTATTTTTGCTAATAACAAGCAAAGGAGACTCCTAGCTTGAGGTGACAAAAAGGGGAGTTATGTAAGTATTCTGCGAGTGAATAGGACATGCCCCCCTGCTTGAGGATTAGCCCAGCAAACAAATGATCATTTTAAAGCATGGACAAAAGTTACTAAAAGGAGAAAAGTTCTTCGCTGTATGTCTAGGTCTTCTGGATCCTTTTTAATTCAGCCATTTTTACTTAGGAATCAAATACATGCATAGTGAGAAGACATCTAAATTACAATATTTTATTTCCCTTGGCTTATTTATTAAACAAATATTTTCATAAGTTACTTTTATCATAATTAAAATTAGTGACAAAGTATTTATTATTTATTATGAAATCAGAATTTCTCTACAAGTTGTTTGTGCAAATTATTTATAATTAAAATAATTTTGAAACAAATGAAAGAAGAGTTAAAGTAAGGAAAACATTGTTTAAAAAATAATTTTAAAAAATTATTTTGAATCTTGAATATGTGAGTTCTCACATACTTGTGAGAAAACAACCCTCAATTTCAGGAATCATACTTATTACATGAAAATTTTGTTTTGAAATCAGTTTCATTTTTATTGTAACCTTGAAAATATAGCAGCAGATGGGATAGAACATAGCAGGTAGCTTATAATATCAGAAAGTGTATGCTGATCAATTTATGCTTCATATTTGGATGTACAACAAACAAAGCTTATTAGTTTCAATTAGCGAAACAATTTTATGTGCCTTTGTGATATGAGGCAAAGTTAAGTTCTGTGCACATATTCACATAGCAGTACTTATGTACTTGATTTTCCTGGATTTTTATGACAATTTTACCTGATGTATTGTACGCATTATTGAAAAATCTACAATCACAATCAATTAAATAATGATTTATTTATTCCTAAAATTCAATGGAATAAGTTTACAAAGCAACAACAGTCTAAAATGTTTATATGTATTTTTGAATATATGCATGAAAACAATTTGTTTTTAATACATATAATTGCATATGCATCAATCAGAGGCCCTTAGTTTTACTGATCACATTTTTCTTAATCTTTCCTGAGGCATCACACTCAAAACTAAGGATTCTCTTTATTCTTTCTGCCTAGGGATTTTCAAAGTATCTAAGACCATTTCAGTTTTGCCCTGGCACAATGGAATCCTAAGCTCCAGCATCTGATAGTGGTGATGGATCCTCTCCGTGTGAGGAACTTTTCTTTGTGGGTCCTGAGTGTCCTTGCCAGTGCTTCCTATGAGTAGGGCTATGATGGAAGGGACAGTTTCTGGGATAAACTGCTGTCTTCCTCAGTCTGGGCTAACCTGCAGTCACAGAACTGCTTTTACACAGATTTAAATGACCAGGGTTTAGAATATGGATATATTTTAAGCTGGTTATCTCAGACAATACAGCCATGCATATATTCACCAATACTCTTCAATAATCTTTTTACTTAGAATTAGTAGCTGTGATGTCTGCAAGGATTCTCTTGAAGCCTCAGTGTGTCGCCTTAGTCTGAGACTCCAGATAATGTTTCTGGATTTTTGAACATGCTAAACAATTATGGTGATATTTTATTTGTATTAAAATGTTATTTGTATGTTAATAAATAAAGTTGCCCGGGGGTCAGAGCTATTAGCAAGCCATAGGAAACCAGGGCAGTGGTAGCGTACGCTTGTAATTCCAGCACTTGGTAGGCAGAGCTGGGTAAGTCTCTGTGTGTTCAGGGATACAGCCATTATTGGATACACATGCCTTTAATCTTAATACCAATCATGGAAAACCTGGAGGCCTATACAGACAGGCCGTGAGGAGGCGGTCATGTGGTTGGGTTTACAACCAATGAGAAGGCAGGACAGGAACTCTATATAAAGACTTTAACACAGGGGTAGCTCTGGTTCGGAGAGGTAGGACCACCGCAGGAGGAAGGGTAAGGTTTTAGCTCTTAGCTCTGACCTCTTGGCTTTCTTCTTTGCATTGGTTCTGTGTTTATTATTTAATAAGAAGGTTGGATACATCTACATTTGGCGCCCAACGTGACAAGAATTCATTAAAAACCGCTTGACTTGGCTTGGCGGCAGGTCCGGTTTCCAGCCTGGGCGGCCCGGCTGCCTAGCTTGGGCCCAGGCCTGACTGACCCGCAGCTGGAGCTACTTGCAACTGCTATAAACAACTCAGACCTGCCCTGCTGAACAGGGCCCCTGCCTGTAAAGCCAAGGCTACACTTTCTCTCTCTCTCTCTCTCTCTCTCTCTCTCTCTCTCTCTCTCTCTCTCGCTGGATTCACACCTCGAACACCAGGTGGCTGTGAAATTCCCTGGGATTCTACTGTTCTACCCAGACTTGGTAAGTCAATTAACATATCTATTTAAAAGAGAATTTTTTTCTACATTAAAAAAAAAATGGGCTTTATGTGTACAATTGGGCTTTGTTTGAAATTTTAGGCACTCTGACAATGGAACAACTATATGAAAAGATTAATATTGATCGAATTATTCAGTTTATTACTTTTCTTATCCTCATTTTACTATTTAAAAAGATCGTCAACTTAAGTGCCAGGATAACAGTCTTAGAAAAACTTGTTAAACCGGTAAAAATGAATTATAGAGAAATTCAAATTCAGACAGAAGAAATAAATAGTGAAGTTGTTTCAAAATTGGATCGTAAGGTTACAGAAAGAAAGCCAGTTTTCACACAATCACCCTTAATTTATCCAGTAGCCGTACAGCAGCTACCTGATGAAGAGAATGAACAAAATACTTGGGTTCCAGTTGAAATGTTAGACTTACGAAGATTTAAGGAGGCAATAGCATCTTATGGCATGCACTCCCCATATGTAAAGCAAATGTTAAACACCTGGTCAACTTGTAATAGGATTATACCAAAGGACTGGCGGGAATTGGCACAGGCTGTTCTTGAACCCGGACAAAATCTCCAGTGGAAAATGTGGTTCAGTAATGAGGCTAAACATATAGAAAGACAATGGAGGGATAGCGGAATACAAGTCTGCCAGGATCAGCTTATTGGCGAAGGCCAATATGCTTCAGTACAAACACAATGTTCATATGATGTCCAAACCCTACTTCTATGTAAAACGGCAGCTTTGAATGCATGGGACAGAGTTGAAGAACCAGGAAAAAAAACTGAGTCATTTACAAAGGTTATACAGGGCCCCAAAGAATCTTTCACAGATTTCTTACAAAGATTGACTTCAGCAGTACAAAAAATGGTCCCGAATTAAGAGGCTAGTCAGATAATAATTGAATCTTTAGCCTTTGAGAATGCAAATGCAGCGTGCAAAAGAATAATTAGGCCATTAAAGGCAAGATCTGCACCTTTGGAAGATTGGATTAGAGATACAGTTAATGTAGAGGCTTATGACCATGATGATATGTGGGTAGGAAAAGCAATTTCAAAAGGTTTGAGCAATGTTAGATGTTTTGGATGTGGAAAGCAAGGACATTTGAAAAGGGATTGTAAACAGGTCATTCCTAGAAATAATGTTTATTCAAGGAACACTGGCAACAGAATGCCCCTTCCTTCTGGAGTATGCAGAAGGTGTGGTAAGGGAAAACACTGGACCAACGAATGTAGATCAACAAGGGACAGACAGGGTAACCCTCTGCCTCGAGCTTCGGGAAACTCCCAGAGGGGCCTCAGGCAGGCCCCCACAGTAAATCCAGTTCAAACCTTTCCTGCAGTTGTAGAGGAAACCCCTACTCAAAGCAACTAAATAACCAAATGTCTATTGGAATAAATCATGTTAGTCGAGATGATGAAACAGAGAAAATAGGAAATACAGGAAAAATCATAAAGAAAATTTTTTGGCAAACTTCTATTAATGAACAAAGACCAAAACTAACAATAAAAATAAATGGTGTTTTGTTATCTGGTCTGGTAGACACAGGTGCTGACATTACCATAATTGCACCAGAATTTTGGCATCCAACTTGGCCTCTTCAGGAGGTAAACATTCAACTCTTAGGAATTGGGACATTATCTAGAGTGAAACAAAGTGTAAGATGGCTTGAATGTATAGGTCCAGAAGGACAGAAAGGAAAATTAAAACCATATATGGCTAACATAGCTATGAACCTGTGGGGTCGAGACTTGTTACAACAATGGAATACTCAGATTAATATCCCTCCAATCTCAGGAACAAATCATAAATTAGTACATGTTTCTGAGAGAAATATCAAAAGATATTATTCTAATGAGTGCTCACCAGCCATCCATGTCATACAAGAACAGGGCACAACAACTGATAATCTTCCAAAAACATTAACAGCTCTACCTTTAAAATGGTCAACAGACAAGCCTGTATGGGTTCAGCAATGGCCTTTAACAACAGAGAAACTCCAGGTTTTACAAGAGCTGGTGGAAGAACAGTTAAATGCTCATCATATTGAAGAATCAACCAGCCCTTGGAATTCTCCTGTATTTGTTATAAAAAAAAAAATCTGGTAAATGGAGAATGGTAACAGACCTTAGAGCAATTAACAAAGTAATTCAGCCAATGGGCTCTTTACAATCTGGAATTCCTTTACCTACTCTGTTACCAAAAGGCTGGCCTCTCATAGTTATTGATTTAAAAGACTGTTTCTTTTCAATACCCTTACAAGAAAAAGACAGAGAAAGATTTGCTTTCACAGTGCCTACTTATAATAATTCTCAACCGGTTAAAAGATTTCAATGGAGGGTTCTCCCACAGGGAATGTTGAATAGCCCAACTTTGTGCCAATATTTTGTAAAACAGCCATTGGAAGTGGTACGTAAAAAATTTCCTAAATCTATAATTTATCATTATATGGATGACATTTTATTGGCTGATTCAAATGCAGATACTTTAGAAAGAA